ACCCTTCGAAGGATGAGATCCAATTTCTCGTCCGTGGACGCTGCAGCTTTGCTGGTGGCGTCCATGGCTCTGTAGCAGCAAAAAGGAAAAGCAGGCCGATGGATTGTTTTGGAACGCTTTAAGCTGCAAGTACCTCCCTTCGTCTTGAGCAAGCCCCTGCAGCCTAAACCCTACGCCCACAACTTATTTTGGTGAGTTTGTATGGCGTGGGCTGTGGACCATGGGCGCAAAATGGCAACGTGTCAACCTGTCAAGCTCTGCTGCCTACCTCTTCTCGGCCCCTATGTCCGTGTAAAAAAACCGGGGGAATGGGTCTGGCGCCACTTCTCTGAGAGCCCGGTAGAGCAAGCACAAGAGCACAGATGTTGCAGACAAAATGTTGATCAAGCATCTCCCAGTAACTGAAGCCATCTTGAGTGGGACCTTTATTGAGGACGCTGTGCCGCAGCAAAAATCCTTACCCCTGCGCCTCAACCCTAGCAACCGTAAACCCTTAGAACCCCAAGCCCTACCAACCCCAAGCTTAAGAATCCCAAGCCTCAAGAAACCTAAGCCCTAAGAACCCGAGCCCTAGGATCCGTACACCGCCTAAACCCTAAACCCCTAAACCCCTAAACCCTAAGTCTAAGGTTGAAACCCATGGGTTTTAGTATGGGCCCTAAACCCAGGGGAGCACTACTTAACGCCTACTATATATCCTATAAGGTTAGAATTTAGGGTTTAGGGTTTAGGGTATAAGGTTAGAATTTAGGGTTTAGGGTTTAGGGTATAAGTTTGGAATTTAGGGTTTAGGGTTTAGGGACCCTATGTGTACCCTCAAGGGTCCTTAGAATCCTGCTTAAAAGCCTAGCCTAAGGCCCTTCAGTAGGGGCCCACCCTAAACCCTAATCCATAAACCCTAATCCCTTAACCCTATAATCCATAAACCCTAATCCCTAAACCTTAATCCCTAAACCCCGGGGTTTATTATGCTTCTAACCTCAGACTGGGACCATCTCTAAAAACCCTACGCATCTGAGTTGGCTAGGAGAACCGGGGATCTAAACCTCTCAAAAGGGCTATGTAGGGGTTCTAGAGGGGTCTAATCTTTTATGCGGTTTAGGGGTAATGGTTTTTTGTTCTTGTAAACCTTGCCAAAGGAGGATATAACACTGCTCCCTATGGGACTTTCTTGAAATACACTCTATTTGGATCCAGACTAGGGTTACTAGGCACCATTATGCGCGTAAAGCCCATTTTCCTTGGGGTCCCTAGGGCCCGACTTGTTTGAGAAACCCCCATATTCGGGACAATGGTTTTGCGATAAAAAAATCCACACCCTTAATATTTCTAAAATCGGGGAAGGGGGCCCTAAACCCTAAAGCCTGAAGAGTACCGTAGCCCTTGTGGCTGAGACCCCAAGCAGGGACTCTCGGTTTATCATAAAAACGCCGAGTAGAGTAATGTAGGGGACATCCATTGTTTGAATAAGGTCTTGAACATACGATACTAAAGTTATAGATGGAGACTATGAGGAGGATTTCAGGAGGGATAATGTTGGTATTCATTCAGGCTTCGGCAGTAGTTACACCAAAACGACTTACTGCTGCTCAACGGAGGGTGGGAGAGTGGATCCCTATAACAATCCCTAATAAGTAATCCCATATATACCACGAAGGATGGTACCTACATTCACCCTCCCAGTCCCCCATAAGCACCAAAAGGAAGAGTTGCATGTTCAAGCGTGCCCCATGACAACGCATCATATAGAGCTCACTCGGACTGGTGACTTACAACACGGACTGCCGGAAAGGGATCTACTTCGAACAACTCCCATTTTATGCGAAAAGAGCATTAGCAGTCCGTCACAGTCCATTTGAGATGTCCTACTTGTCATGCTTGAAAGGAAGAGCATCGTTGGAGTTTAGATGGAGTTCAATGGTCTTCACGTCTTGCTGAATTTCTACACTTATAGCTTCCAAATTGTGCGAATACTTGGCAGTGGGAAGAACCAAAAGTTAGACTTGCTGCTAATATGAGATGGATCCCATATTAGCTTACATCTCATCCCCCAATAAGATGATAGTTTGCATTTCGTTTTCCGGCCCCTGAAGCCTACACCGTAAGCCCTAAAAGGTAGCTTATGTTCTCTTTGCTGCTCCTAGATTCCACACCCTACAAGCCCTAAACCCCAATACTAGCGACGAAGGACGGTGGCTATCGGATCAATTGCCCCGAGGTAAGTCGAAGTACAACCTAAACCCTAAGCCCTGAAGCTCTAAACCTTAAAACCCTAAAAGCAAGCCATCAACCCTAAAGCTCTTTACCCTAAAGCCGTAAACGCAAAACCCTAAAACCTAAAGCTCTATTTATAAACCCTAAAACCCTAAACGCAAACCCCTAAAGCGCTGAACCCTACAACCCTAACACACAACCCTAAACCCTAAAGCTCTGAACCCTAAAACCCTAAACGCAAAACCCTAAACCCTAAAGCTCTGAACCCTAAAACCCCAAACGCGAAACCCTAAAGCTCTAAATCCGAAAGCCCTAGACGCAAAAACCTAAAGCTCTAAATCCTAAAACCCTAGACGCAAAAATCCTAAACCCTAAAACCCTAGACGCAAAACCCTAAACCTTCTCGGTTCAACCCCCGATGATCCAACCCTCAGGCCCTAAGTGTCCAAGCACCGAACAACCTACTGACGCTTAAGGCGGTGTGGGGGGAGTGAACCTAGGTACCATTATAGGGTTTACGGTTTAGGGTTCAGAGTTTAGGGTTTAGGGTTTAGAGTTTAGGGTTTGAACCATTATAGGGGTAGATATGGAGGTTATACAGGCCCCACTGCTCGCGTGCATGTGGAAGTTAGCTAGAAGTGCTGTTTGCAAAATGGGGGAGAACTTACACACCCCAGCCGTTCTATGGAGACATCCTCAGATAAGAACCCACACTGTATCACATAATGCTTACTCAGGGAAATTCCTCACGCAGGCCTAGTCTTCACGAGTTCCATGGAATCCGCACAAATCCCCATGGGGCCATCACACACCCGAAGCCCATGATTCTTTTAGCTCACAACCCTCAAACCCGAAACCGCCTGGAGCCCATGGCTCGAAAATGGACTCCGGCTACAGTGGCAGGAGTCTGTGGAAAATGGCTGTCAACAAGCAAAACTGACACAATAGAGACTGGAGGAGTTGAAGCGAGTTGTCTATGGCAGCAATGTTCCAGGCACGTGAAGATGACAAAACTTTGGATGTTTAGGGTACGGGAAATTTCTAGTATAGCCTGGCAAAGCATTGGTTTCCTGGTCTTCCTGAAGACGGCAGGCTTGGATCCAAGCGCCATCTAGACTACTGGTATTGCCATTACTACTACCATTACTCTATTACTAGTACTGCTGCTATTACTACTCTTACTACTGTTACTACTACTAGTACTATTCTTACTAATGTAGAAAACTGTCCACAACTAAATCCTTGAACATCAAGATTTCTCATTCTAAAAAAGGAAGTGTACATACTCGCGACAGGAATCCTGCAACATTGGCCTTGTTTCAATGTCATGCTTCATGTCTCTGCCGTTTAATTCTTCCTTATGCCTACATAGACTGGAAAATATTTTCCCTAAATGGATGGAAGGTGTGTGTACCATGCCGCCTAGGAGGCCCGCTTTGAGCCAGAAGTAGCTAAGACGAAGTCATAGCCGTGTGCTTTACGGGTTGCCCATTTGTCGACCTTTGGGGTTCCCGAAGAAAGGCGGTTCATTCATTAGGGATCCATGTCTGTGGTTCCTAAAATGCGGAGGGTATTTGGGGGGCTATCAGGGGGACACCTGTTTTCGGAAGCGCTCGACAAGAGAGAGAGAGAGAGAGTCAGTTAGGGAGAGAAAGAGAAAGAGAGAGAGTGAGAAAACAACAACAAAAAAGAGAAAAAATGCGAGAGAGAGGGCCTCACGCAGGACCCGAGGGCCCTGCTACAGTTTCATTAAGAAACTCCAACCTTGCGTCTGGCATGCCACAGCCGTCACACCCAGCACCTAAAAATCATAACTCTCAGGCAAGTCGATAAGCAATCGCAGACAGACTTCTTGTTCAACAATGGTCTCAAAGAAGGGACATCACAGGCTTTTCGTGAGTTCATGGTTGGCAAGGAGCTGGGAAGCTGAACGAATGATTACGATGCGTTCCTAATTCGGAGAAAGTGGAACATATTTCTATGTTCAGCCCTTTTTGGGTTGCAGTAGATGCATCCGAAAATGAAATCCAAACAAGTAATTAATCAGCGCAGTGTCAGGTTTGTGGAAATATAACATGAACCCCAGAAGGGCCCTGTAGAGACTAACATACTTAAAAACCCATACGTCTTTTGCCCTGAAACCGGGCACCTTGCACGCCTGAACCGGTAAAACCAAAAAGCTCCCCCTAAACCTTTAAAACCCCAAAGTCCCGCTGGTTTAGGGTTATAGTCCCCTTAAGTAGATATTACCCCAATAATGGAGAATCAGATGGACAAGAACATGGAAAATTAAATGGATATTAGGGAATATAGGGATGATCAGGGTTCATAGTCCCCCTTAAGTAGATAGAATATGGCTTTGGGTATATTATAATAAGATCCCCATATACCCCATAGTCAATCTACTTAAGGGGGACTATTAAACCCTTGACCCCGAAATCTTGAATCCTAGATCCTTCTTGTAAACTCTACTGTAAATCCTGAGTCCTGTGCCCTAAGCACTTAAACCATGTCCATAAACAGTGAATCCCACACCCTAAACCCTTTCACCCCATTGTAAACCCTAGACCCTAAACCCTAAAAACCTGAACCCTAAAACTCTAAAACCCCAAACCCTAAAACCCTAAAAACCCTAAACCCCCAAACCCTACAACCCTAAAACTCTTAAACCCTAAAACCCCAAACCCTAAAACCCTAAAACCCTAAACCCTGAAACCCTAAAACCCTAAAACCTAAAACCCTAAAACCCTAAACTCTACCCACCCCTTATCAGAGTAAGGCTTTTCGACGCCCTCCGCCACGGCAAAGCGTGCCAGCCGATCGCGGTGCGCGACGTGCTCAGGTCTTAGGGCCTGCCGCTGAAAGACTATTAAGCAAAAAGGGTTTAGGGTAGGAGTTATATGAGAACCATATGGGTTTTAGGGTTTAGGGAGAACCATATAGGTATGATAAACGATTCTGCTAAGAGGGTTTCTAGGGGTTAAGGTTTCGGGGTTGAGGGTATTGTGGATTTAGGACTTACAGATAAGGGCTGCGGCTAGGCAGTTAAGGTTGAGGGAGTAGGATTAGGGTTGAGGATTGAGGAGTCAGGGTTGGCACCTTCTTTGCGGAATCAAAGCCCCAAACCCGAAACCCTTCTCCCTAATCCCTTTTCTGGGAGGAGACTCTCGAGAACGCTCTGACTCCTGCCTGCCATTCAACGAAACTAGCTGCAGCGTCACAAGTCGAATCATGCAGAAACCTTCACAGGAGTGAGAACCTGTCAACTGCTACGCTCCACGAATGCCCGTAAACACTTAGCACCGGGGGCACTGTCGTCTGCAAGGGCTCTGCAGCTTTCAGAAAACATCCCTGGAATGCAGTATACCCCCCACCCAGTAACAGTATATAGAACCATACCCTAAACCCTAAACCCTAAACCCCTAAACCCTAAACCCTAAACTCTAAACCCTAAACCCTAAACCCTAAACTCTAAACCCGAAACCCTAAACCCTAATTACAAACATTATGCAACTCTTACTGAGGGGGGGCAGTACCCAACGAA